TATATATATATTTATATTTCACATATAGCACTTGTTGAAATTTCATCTGACTTCATTTTAATTGTCTGCTTTTTTTTATGTTATTGCCATTATAAGGTGGGTTTATGGTGGAAATAAGAGGGGAATGCTTAGTGAATATAAGCTATTGATTGAGGTATATAAGCTGGTCGAGAATGATAAAATTGAATTGAATGAAGTTTTAGTTACCACACCCAAAAAGTATTCTCAATTCGCTTTATCAAGTCCGCTAATCACGGCTCAAGGTTTGCATATTTAATATACGTTAAAAAATTTGATAGAAATAGTGCATAAAGTTTTCCCAAGATTTTTGTTGTGAACTAATTTTTATCTTGGTTATTTACTCCTTTATTCCGTGCTTTTTCCAACATTTTACGTATTTAATTTCAGATAAAAGCAAAGATGAATTTGTAAATCAATTTAAAAAGTCTAGAAGTCTTCTACTGCTATTTTTGGAGAGCGAGATAAATAATATGGCAACATGGTGTAATCCATTAAATTCCCCAGACACAATTAGAGATACATTTGCCCCTAACGCAGAAAAGGGTTTATCAGAGGTATTATAATATGTTGCATTATGTCAAATGAAATCTTGTTTGTCGCAATGTTAATGTTCGCGTATTTATTTTTATTGAATGTAGGAAGAATGGAAAAACATTATACGTCATTCATGGACAATATCACCAAGTTTAACTGTACAATTGGCAACAAGATTTAAGCAACCAAATGTACAAAATGAGGTTCATAAAATATTATACAATAATTCAGCAGATGCTATACGAGTAGCTGATGCACTACCCTTATTATTAGGCGATAAATTAAATCCTAATATTACTTCACAATTAAAAGTACGACGATTTTTATAAATTTTGTGATGCCTACTTGTATGTTTATTAATTTTACAATTTGGCCTATCTAGTATCTACTATATTGGGCACCAGTTCCTCCAATAACAGCTACATCGTATTTTTCGGCAACTTATAATAATCATCCCTTAATTTTACAATATGCAATGCGTGTTCTTGAATATCATCCAGTAGATGTTGTATTTTTTTATATCCCACAAATTGTACAAGCATTACGGTTCGATAGTCTAGGTATGAGAAATTTTTACGGGCATATAAAGTTGAAACTATAATATAATTATTGCTACTCTATATCATTAGGTTACATAGAAAGATTTATCTTGGGAGCTGCTAAGATTTCACAATTATTTGCTCATCAAATAATATGGAATATGAAAGCAAATATGTATAAAGATGATGAATCATCAGTTGTAAGTTAATAATTTTAAAGTTTCATTTATTATCTTTTTTTTTTTTCCGCCAATGTTTTTGTTTCCTCATCCTCACGAATGAATTATTTTAGCCTGATTCATTGAAACCGACCTTGGATCGCATAATCGACAGTATTGTAAACTCTTTATCAGGAGAAGACAAGAAATTTTATGAAAGAGAGTTTACATTTTTCAATGCAGTTACTTCTATATCAGGTAAACTAAAACCTTATATTAAAAGGCCAAAGCCAGAAAAAAAGGTATATAATTATTGATTTGATTAATCTTGTAAATAAAAAAACATGCATTAATATTATATAAAATTTATTTAGGCAAAAATTGATGAAGAAATGGCGAAAATAAAGGTTGATGTGGGTGTTTATTTGCCTAGTAACACAGAAGGAAAGGTAGTGGATATAGATTACAAATCTGGTCGACCTTTACAAAGTCATGCAAAGGTTAGTTTTTATGAGATTGTTTAATAAAGAAAGTTCAAAATAATATAAAGATACATACTTTTTACTATATACATAGGCTCCTTTCATGGCTACATTTAAAATACGGAAAGAACGAAGTGATACTGATGAAGTTAAAGAAGCGTTAATGCAATCTGAGTCCATTGAATTAGCTGATAATGATGATGAACCCAAGACAATTGATGTGTGGCAATCCGCAATTTTCAAAGTTGGTGATGACTGTCGACAAGATTTACTGGCCTTGCAATTAATTGCAATATTTAAGAATATATTCAATAGTGTTGGATTGGATTTATATCTTTTTCCATACAGAGTTGTGGCAACAGCTCCAGGGGTGAGATATAAATTTAGTAATTCAAATTTTATCGTTCTTAATTAATTTGAATTATTGTTATAGTGTGGTGTCATCGATGTTATCCCTAATTCAATTTCTCGAGATCAATTGGGCCGAGAAAAAGTGAATAGCCTTTATGAGTAAGTCAAATAAATTTAATATTTTAGGTTCTCTGAAAAAAATTTTTAATGGATTTGCATAATTTTTAGATATTTCCTTACAAAATATGGTGGTTTAGATTCTATCGCTTTTCAAAAAGTAAGACTTCACTATTATTGTCAACCTTTTTTTTTATTTATTCAAAAAAAAAAAACTTACCATGATCATACAATCACTAATTTTAGGCAAGAAATTGTTTTATTCAAAGTGTAGCTGCCTATTCTGTTGTATCGTTTTTATTGCAAATTAAAGATAGGCATAATGGAAACATTATGCTAGACGATGAAGGACATATAATTCATATTGGTATGAATTAAAAATTAAACCGAAACACCAAGTTATTTATTAATTAATTATAAAATTGACATGTTGACAATTTTGTAAATATTTAGATTTCGGTTTTATTCTTGATATTTCACCTGGGGGCATTAATTTTGAAAGTTCACCATTTAAACTTACCACTGAAATGATTCAAGTTATGGGAGGAAGTGCTGAGGTTCAACAATTCAAATGGTTTTCGGAGCTATGCATTAAAGCGTATTTGGCAGTAAGGTAGAAAAAAAATATCAAATTGTATGTGTAATTTTCACAAATCAAACAAGTTTTAATTAAAGATTTATTATTTATAATAATAGACCTTATGCGGAAAATATATGCCAATGCGTTGGTTTAATGCTTGGTTCAGGTCTTCCGTGTTTCAAAGGTGAAACGCTGAAAAGATTACGTGAAAGGTTCCAATTGGATAAAACTGAACGTCGTGCGGCTGATTATATGATTGTGAAAATACATCAATCATTTGAAAATAAAAGAACAGTATGGTATGATAGTTTTCAAAAAGCTACAAATGGTAAGACTTTTTACAACAACAAATTTTTGTTTTTATATATATGTAAATTTTGATATATATATATTTATGTATTTATTTGATTTTAGGAATACCTTATTAAATTTAAACTTTGGGTGTAAAAAATATTTATTGGACTATACTGTTCAGGATATTTGATTTGTTAAGTATTTATGACGATTAAATGTTTACTATTTTAGAAGAATTTGAGTTATTTGGACATTTTTATTTTTTACCTTGATTTAGATTTAATGATAAAAAAAAAATTAAATAAATAAAATAAATCAATATTTTACTTAAAACAATTGTTTAGATATACAGTAAATATTACATTTTGCAAATAAGACTGAAGAGAAATATTTAAGTTTTTTGAGAATGAAAAAGGGCCACGATTCGAAGAAACGTGTTTATTTTAAGCTTTAGAAACAATGGTTCATCCATCAAATTATCAGAATAAATATCAATATAGTACTGTATCTGTAAAATAATAATGACAATTATTTTAATATTTGAAATATATTTATTGGTTTTAATTTTATTGCAAATTTTTGTATAACGATAATATTAGTGATTATTGTAATTTTTTAATAATAAGTTTTCAGGTTGCGCTTTAGTTTTACACTTGAATGGCCAGTTTTAGTATCAGGACTTTGAATCATTATATTTACCATAGACTGGCGATCGAACCTCTAATACTTCGCTATGCCATTTGCCCATTGTAACCACATCTAAAACTAATTTTATCATAAATTTTTTAAATGATGAACGAATCGGAATTGCCTCAAATACTTTGTATTTTGCAAAAAAAAATTGGATTTTTACTATTAAAGCTATTCTTTAGTAGAAAGTGGTTTGTTTCATTCATTTTATGCTCTTGGAAGATAATAACTATTTCTTTCGTTATAAATAAAATCGAATACTTATATATAAACACAAGGATGATTAACTATATGAGCTGTGTTTTGAGAAAAAAAACCAAATTAATAAAAGAAAAGGTTTACGGAAAATTAATTGTTATATCACATAATATTAGCAACTTAATATTTTTCGTGATCTTTATAATTTGCTTAAGTAATAAATGGCGATTTCGATTTATTCATTGTAACTTTTCAACTATATTTTTGAAATTCTGTTTTATTATTTTACACTTTACATTCTTTATTAAACGATACACACGCAGCTGTGTATTTGACATATTTCTACGACGTCTTTACGGTAGCTCATCTTGTTTGTCTTTATCATCTTGAATATTTATTTTACACTTTTACACTTTACATTCTTTATTAAACGATACACACGCAGCTGTGTATTTGACATATTTCGACGACGTCTTTACGGTAGCTCATCTTGTTTGTCTTTATCATCTCGAATATTTATCAACAAAAAAAAAATAACAAAATAAATTCAATTTAAATTCGTCGGTCTTGTAGAATTCGTCGATCTTTATTTGTTTTGCGTATTACGGCCTATATACCGGTATAAAAAAAAAAAAAAAAAAAATGAATAACTACTTCATAATTAAAAAAAACCAAACAAGGACGTTCACAGTAACTGTGGCCACGAAGAGCTTCCGGTTGCTTAATTTTATGTATCTATTCACCACCCACAACGATTAATACCAATAGTCCGTTCACCCGACCCTTTTAAGGTGTAATTACAGAAGTAATTGTCTTAATTAGTCGGTCCCGCGAACGTAAAATCAAAATCTTAACCGCGGTAGTAACCTTTAAAACCTTTGGAAGAAGAAATAAACGTTCACAACAAGTCGTCCACCGTAGGTCTCAATGCCTAACTAGTAACTGTCACAAGTTGCGGCCCGATGTGCTGTTATTATCTTCTACCTCCGGTTAAAAAGTCGCGAAAGATACATACAACTAATCAGCAACTATTCAGTTACTGTACCATAAACCAGATGTAATTTTCACTAATATTAGCGAAAACAACCTAGACATTTATGATACATTACCTTGTATGTATCTGAGGTCCGACGTAGAGTTATAATAGAAGATTCTTAGAATAAAACCGTCAAAAAAAAAAAACCAACGTAATTTTTATATAGATTATTGATCTGATTACATCATTCGTATGCGGGCACCAATCAGATCTCATCAAAACAATTTTTTTTCGAATGATGTAATTAAATTATCATATGATGATTAGGGTTTAGGGCACGGAGGCATGGGGCATGCCCATATGGGCATGCCCTATAGGCATGCCTATGGGCATGCCCTGAGGTCAAAAGGCATGCCCCTATTTAAGCCTAACCCAAGCCTAACCCAACCCTAAACCTAACCCTAATATATATATGCTATATATTAAATTTCCGCGTATAAATTACTAAACTATTAGCTAATAACTACCAAACAACTAACAATACTAGATACTACACTGGATTCTAAAAA